CAAACAAAAGCACCCAAAAACCCCCAAATAAAACAAAACAAAAACCAACCCAAACCAAACGCACGCACACACACACACACACACACACATACACACACACACACACGAACACACATACGAACACACACACACACACAAACACACTCACACACCCACATACAAACAACACAACAACAAACAAACAAACAAACAAACAAACAAACAAACAAACAAAGACAATTAATAAAAAGCACAGTAGTGCGCATACTGTATGCTAATCAGAGTCAGGTGCACTGACGTTCAGTCACGATGATGAAACAGACAATTATATCGATCAGACCTTTACGTTTTACTACCGTATCATACACATTTATGGCCATAGGCCGGACTATAACCCCGTAAGCGACGAGCGTTCAAGTCGCCATTAACAAAGAGGCTTCCTTCTAGAGATATAATATGAATCAATCAAGGCTATTAGAGGCTTCCTTCAAGAGACATAATACGAATCAATCAAGACTATTAGATGGCTGGACCAAAGGTAACTGGTTGCCGTAAACACGCCCAATGACGATGTGGCAATTCTCCCACACATCGCCCTGTGTCATGAGCCGCTTCATAGATCGAGCCTGCAATTTTCTACTTTTCTCGTCTCCCCAAGTGCAAAGGTTTGAAAACTGAACTTGTTCAGACACATTAATTGTGTATTATTTTGTAGCATTCTTCATGTGTTCAATTTGGATTTGTATAATTTGTATGTGGGTGTGTGAATTACTATCCCAGTATTGGTATTATGCGTGCAAATTGTCTTTATTAATATTAGGCACATACGTATTTAAAATTATCCAGTGTTCCAAGTGAACGTGTTGAAGTTAGTGCTAACTCTCTTCTAACCTATCTCAAAGATTTAAAAGGACACAGAAGAAATGCACCACTCGCCCTAGTTTGTAGAATTAAACAAACAATGTGTGTTTTATAATGTTGTTATTGACATTTTTTTTTTTGGTAAGTGTTTTACGGCGGTCGCAACTGCATACGGTCATATGAGCGCGCGGGACACACCTAATATTTTCAGTTGGTAGGACATTTTGAATTTTGCCAGGGTGGCGGCCGAAGCCTACTCTTATCGATTTTAGACCACCAAGAGATCTTTAACGTGCGCAACTTGCACACGGGCCCTCCAAGATTTTTCGCCCTTGTCCGAGAAGGCCAGGTGTAGATCTTTAATTCTTTCCTACCAGAAGACCAGGGGTGTGGCAGAAAGACAGCAGTAAGGGGGAGCCAAGGAGTAGCAGTAGAAAGGCTGCAGAAAGAGCCAGGAGCCCAGAGGAGGGGGCAAAGGAGGTGAGGGGGTGGGGCAGAAAGTGGAAATGAAAGCAGACAACAGAACATTGCTAGAGAGCAGTAAAGGAGGTGAAAGGAGACAATTTTAGAGAAGAAAATTTTTCGGTCGCTACCCGGATTCGAACGCGGGACCTTTGAATGAAAGGCCAACACCTTAACCTTTAGGCCACGAGAGCCCCCGTTTTATAATGTTATCATTACCTGGCGCCTGAGGTTTCTCAGTTCAACAATGGTAAGTGTCACATCTCTTGAGTAATTAAAATCTTCAAATGAATTACATTACCCCGTAAGTATAGTAGAAAAGCTATTGGTAGGCTGCAATTAATCATTTAATTTATTTTTTTTAAAAAGAACCCCAGGCATTGATTCATTTGAAGTACATGTACACATATTGATAATGGTTCCTTTTTTCATGAAGATGAAGACTTGGACCCTAGTTATATTAAAAGACACTATTCAAATTTGATAACATTTGTGAAAATTTTATTATAATTTCAAATTCATAGAGGTGGTTGGAGGTGGGGCAGTGTCCGTGCTGATATTGTGATATATATTCGAATTTGAATCATGCCGAGAACATTAATGTGATTGAATTGAAGAGGGAAAAATGCGCTGATGATAGGAATCTAGATGTATGGCTCGGCACACACCATATCTGAGTCAGATTTCCAACGTTGTAGAGATTCTGATCTACCGATAATTTGGTATCTCATTTGATTTATTGGGATGCATCCCACACAGCCCGCCTTTAGTTTGATTGGGTCGAAGCAGCCGGCCACGAAAAGGATTCAGATGGTGTTGATGGAAGCATAAAATGTACTATTATATAACGCAAATAACATGTTTGACCGGTTTCAAGAGTGCCCCCGTGTAGATAAGAAAAACATTGTAAAATTCCTAATCGAACACAGAGCAAGCAAGTTATCAGGTAAAAATATAATATTTTTATTAGGACACTGATTAAACCTTCCTAGAAATCACGCTTCAGCATGGCTCTCCAACAACAACAGCAACAACAACAACAACAACAACAACAACACTTGAAAAAGTTACTTCTGAATCTGAGGTAACAGTAAGTTACATTTATTTGACCCCCACTGTTAAAACAAATTAAAATATGTTATTATGCATGACGTCACGGCGATCCATTAAAGAGGCCCAACAGAAAGTAAAGACCCTGGTTCAACGTACCAGGTCGAGTAAGTTCCGAATGGAGAGCTCATATTGGGGTTTACCACGTGTGAGTTACTGAACTGAATGTCCCGGGAGAATCACAAGTTTCTCGGGGGCTCTCGTGGCTTAGAGGTTAAGGTCAAAGGTCCCGGGTTCGAATCCAGGTAGCGACCGAAACATTTTCTTCTCTAAAATTGTCTCCTTTCACCTCTTTTCCTGCTCTCTAGCAATGCTCTGTTGTCTGCTTTCATTTCCATTTTCTGCCCCCACCCCCTCACCTCCTTTGCCCCCTCCTCTGGGCTCCTGACTCTTTCTGCACCCTTTCTACTGCTACTCTTTGGCTCCTCCTTACTGCTGTCTTTCTGTCACACCCCTGATCTTCTGGTAGGAAAGATCTACACCTGGCCTTCTCGGACAAGGACGAAAAATCTCGGAGGGCCC